ATATGGTTAATTTAAGTATAGACCTCAATTGTTCTCGATTACGTGGTTCATACTAGAACATAACGACATCACATGGTTCATACTCGCCGAGTAAATGATCTCCGGATGTCACATTTTTCTTCCATTCATATCTTTTTAGAAGAAAATTTCACACATTTATCTTAGAGCTCAGCTTCCGTTCTACAATCCAGTATCTCATTTCATATCCTTTCAAAGAATATTTCACACATTTATCTTAGAGATCTCACTTCCTGCTCTACAATCCATTTTCTCATTTCATATCTTCAATGTAGTTTTGCATGATGAGGCTCCTACGGAAACGAAGTCTTGCTTCAGCAACATTACAGCGGCAGACTCAACTCATCCATCTCCAAACCTAATGCAGGGACCATTGAGATGTTGTTCTTGACCTCCATCCACAAGCTGTGAGATACAGTGGCAACCACTCAGCTTGTGACTTGGTAATTTGAGCTAGACATGTATGATGTAGTTTGGTCTCTCATGCACAAACATCATAATCAACTTTCGAAGGAATATTTCAAAGCCTGAAATCAAATAATAATGTTCATCAGGTTCTGATACAGCAATGCTACGATATCTACAAGACAATGTTCTCACTATCTTCACACATCCAGAGATACAAATTTAATCTTATGAAACAACACTTTTGCTTGTCTTCAAACGATAAAAATGTGATAAGAGGTGATGTCTCTCCTGGTTACGTGTAATCTCACAAGCACAAATGCTAAACAGATATCATAGAAAGAAGCAAAAGACTTCTTTATTAACTCGGTATTCTTACAGAAGGAAATGCCAAATTAAAACCATCTATTAGAATGGGCAACTCAAAGTAGAAGTTGCATGATCTAAGATGGCTTATAATACTTCGTTGGAACAAATGGCATCTTCGTCACAACGCCATCATTGGACTTCCCACGAATAATAATCTTAACTTCAGTTCCTGGCTTGTGGAGACCAGACTTCACGTAGCCCATGGCTATGTTCTTCTTTAAGCAGGGACTGAATCCTCCACTGGTTACCTCCCCAATCTTTTCCCCGCTGCTGTTCAAGATCTCATTGTGACTTCGCGGAGGTGGGCCTGTTGAGAAGAAGCCAACACGTCTTATAGGTGGGCCTTCCTCGAGTTGCTTTAGGATCACTTCCGCACCCAAGAATCCACCTTCAGCTCTTCTTCTCTTACCGATCGCCCATGTAAGGCCAGCCTCGACAGGTGTGGTGTGCTGATCCATGTCATTGCCATACAGACAAAGGCCAGCTTCGAGGCGAAGGCTGTCCCGAGCACCTAACCCTGTCAACCTCACCTTCCCTTCAGATTTCTCCAGAATTGCTTTTGCAAGATCTACTGCATGCTCGGATGGAACAGAGATCTCAAAACCATCTTCGCCTGTGTAGCTGAAAGTTTCAGGAAGATGAGAACCTGAGATATTTGTGATTCACAAAAATAAAGTTTACCGCTAAATAACAAGCTGAATAAAGTGGTAGCATATTAATATAAGAGTTGGGTAACAGCAAAGCTCCCAAATTCTAAAAACATAGTTGAACACTTGCAACCCCCGCTCTAGTCAGTAGCTCTATCAGACCACTCAGAGCAAGCCTGTACCTTTCGCTTTCTATAGGTGAGTGAACTATGCTGAATAAAACAAGTTCTTGCAAAATTAAACCCAGTTTCTTGGAGAAATTCTTTCTGAACCATGGTCATATTCATCACTTGAAGGAGAAAAAAGACGAGCCACATATTTCTTCCTCTACCAGCACCAACCATCCCCTTTCTGGAAGCTAACCCCTTGGTTGAGTTGTTGCAGCAATATCCAAACAGTGCAAATGGGGAAGAAAGCAGAGAGAGTATTTTTCTTTTTCTGGCAAAAATACCGACAAGTTTATCGTTAACACTCCAATTGACTCTTGACAGAAGAAGACAGTGAACCTTTCATTTAAATCTGATCAAGTTGCAAAATTACATCCACAATTCATCTGCCAACCTGTCCATGAACAGTTATTATATATTTTACATTTTTTTAAACCACATTAGCTTCTAGTCCAAGCCAATTTCCACATCCAATTATTAAATTAACAAACTCCTATTGTTTTCAGATGTGCTTTCAACATTGTCAGTTGCAAGCACTTTGTTAAACAACTACTTGAATAAAGCAAAAGAAAATAAAACATACCCAGTTCTTGTGAGGAAACAATGTGATCCATGAATGTCCAATGTGCAGAACTCGCCAAAATAGATTTTACTTAGATCGTCTTTTGTTAGCAGCTGAAGAACTGGTGCAGCCAGAGGACCCTGAGTTCATTCATAAAATAAAGCAAATCATTTCATATGTAGTGAGCTGAGCAATTCGATCAAGACAGTGGATTAGCTGCTACATGGACACTAGGAAAAGATGTTCTTATAGGTGCTGACTAAATGCATATAATTCAATGATCTTGTCTTGAGATATGCTTGCCATAAATGTTTAGTGTCTAAAGAAAAAGTTCAAATTAAAAGGAAAAGAAAGAAAGAGAAATTACTACAAAAGATGATTTGCTATATCTTGTGGTCAAAATCATGCTTCAATTCTAAGCAACTCAACAATAAACATGACCATCAAGATCCACTTACCAAGGGCAACAGGTTTCATGCTTAAAGTGATTGATGTCAAATCCCAAATTGCAAGCTAGTCGACAGATTTCTCAAGCATGGATCCAATTGCATTGAAATATCCATAAGCATCATAAACTTCTCTCTTTTTGACCTCTATTAGATAATACATAACATGGCCATTTCAATAGCACTCAGGCCATTAGATTGTATAGCTCTATAATACTGCGCTTGTAGATTTGAAGGAGAAATGAATGTGATATAGAATCTGAAGGCAAAAAGGAATATCATTTGACCAAGCTTTTAACATCATCTGACCTATTTATGAGTTCAGAATGATCTCTATTGAATGCACAGGTATCAAGTAAAGCTGAGAACAGAAACCTGAGTGTCTTAAAGTAATCTGATTGTATTGAATGCCTGTACCACATACTATCTCCATGCAATGTGGTATTAGAAGAACTAATTATCATGCAACTCCCCTATCTTTATAAATGTGTGGAAACATGTTCACAGTGGATTCAGATACCAACCAATTCCAAAGATTGATGACCTTAGTTACTTTCGATCTACTGGTCTATGAACAAACCTAGAATAAATATCAAACACAAGGATCTCGCCGATTCAAGATTAATTATCAAGAACAGTGGTAGAAGAATCAACATCAGTTAAGACCCTAATCAATCAGAGACAGAAGGAAATTAATAATATGTAGACTGACTTCTGTAAGACTAATACTCTGTTAATTTCATGAAGTAGTTGAATTATTAAGGAATAAATGAGAATCTTTTTTTCCCTTATTGGAGCATAAAACAACAAGAATCTTTATCGAATCAGATTAAAATGAAAAAGACAAATAATTATCAGATCCACATTTCCATGACTTCCCAAAGAAGCAGATCTCATATACCTGTAGAGCCAGAAGCGACCTTTCATCATGAATGTGCCAGTCCACAGCCCCTCCCTTAGCCTTGAAGGCCTCCATGTAAGCGGAGATGTGGGCCAGGTCCTTGTCCCTGCACCCAGCGTTCACCACGAGGTAGATGTGGTCGTCCCGCACCTTGGTCACCACGGAGTCGTCGATGGCACCGCCGCGCTCATTGGTGAAGACGGTGAGCGTCCCCGTGCCAGGGCGGAGGCCGGCGACGTCGGCAACGACGAGGGTCTCGAGGAAGGGGATGCAATCGCGGCCGCGGAGGCTGAGGCCGCACATATGAGAGACGTCAAAGAGGCTGGCGGCGGCGCGGCAGTGGAGGGTGGAGTCCATAATGGAGTCCTTGTACTGGATCGGCATGCTCCACCCAGCGAAAGGCACCATCTTGCCGCCGTGCTCGACGTGGAAATCATGCAAGACGGTCTTTTTGAGCTCCGCCGGCTCCGCAGCGGGGGCGGCGGCGAAGTGGCGTGGCTTGGGGGTGGTGGACTTGGATTGGGCGAGGCGGCGGGAGAGGCATTGGCCCAGCTGCCAGAGGCTGCCTCCTCTCATCTTGGGCAGGGAATAAGGATGGATTGGATAACGAAGATGAAGCGGAAGAAAAAGATGGGAATGAATGAGAGGGGATAAAAGAACGAGATATATACAAACAAATATAGAGGAGGTTGGCAGTGGGTGGTGGAGGACTCCTTAATCCTTCGCTCTGTCGAGTAGGGATGAGTTGCGAGTGGCAACCACATACACACACACACGCTATCTCTCTCTCTCTCTGGATGCCGCCTGTTTTGATTTGGTTTCTCCTCTGTTTCTGTTTTGGTGTTTCTTTTGTTCCTTGTCATTTTGTACAAGTAGGACTTGTGTTTTTCGGTTGCTTGTATCAATTGGGTGTTTGGAGAGTAATTTTTGTGTCGGCCGATCTGATTTTGTTTTGGTTTTCTGTTTTCCTGTATACCGTGAAGCAATTGGGAGTTGCCCTGTTTTTGTTTTGTGGTTTTCTGTTTCTTGTGTACTATACAGCCGTGCATTAGAGCCTACAAATCTGTCTGTCTGCTCCTTTGTTTGGTATGTGCAAGTGTTACACATGTACCTGATCACAGTGGAGACTGAGCCTAACATATTTGAGAGTTGGAGTTAAAGAACTGTGCATCATGGGTTTAAGGTTTAACCTAACCTCCTACAGAGTCTGGTGATTCAGTGATTACAATGTAACTTTAACATCATCCACTGTAGGAAGCGACAAGTACATTAATTTACCCTAACAATGCCATAAAACTCAAAAGACTTCCACAAAACTCCTTACTGATTCAAAGTTTAACTCTTCCTATGGCTTTCAGTAAGGGAGCAGCAGACTCATTCTCCCTCTGATCTTATGAACCTCAAATTCACAATGTGTTCTGAGTTTATGTTGGATCAAGATCTCTTTTTCCCCTTCCAAGCTGCTGCCTTGGAAGGAACGAAAAGTAATGCAAAAAAATTCACAATGGTCACTATTAATCAGTAGCATCCTACATGACAAGCTAACCAAACTTGTAACAGTTTAAACACGTCAAGATTAGCAAATTCAAAGTACAACTGATGAATGCTCTCTTGTTCAGGAAGAACAGCAGATGTAGATATTCTCCTAAACTTGTAGACAAACATTAAACTGCTGAACTGGCTCTGACTGGTGATATCACTTTGAGCAATGATGGCCACATAATGCGATACAATGAGCATTTAGCTTGCTGATATAATAGCAGCATAAAGCCAAGCAGGATCCATGCCCTAACTCAATTGTTGCAATCCTTAAATTATCTTATTTCTGACATCTTCAAGCTTCTTCAGTATTTCACCTGGTGTTCTATCAAGTTCGTCAGCAATCTTCCTCTGCAAATCAGGGGGGAGGGTCGGAAACTGCTCGCATAGATCACCATCGATTACATCCTGTAGAATGATTTACTTCAATAAGCAACTGTTTTATTGTGTATCTTTGTAAAGCTTAACTTGAAGAACAGCAGCCTTAAATAATTTTAAACAAAAGGCAATAAGGTGCAGTAGTAGGTAGTCCTTCATGTGAATGTCAAATTGGGAACAAGCATGAAGAGACCCATGGGACACATCAATCTGAAATTGACCTCGAGAAGTACACCAACCAAATAAAATTAGCAGTGCAATTGCCATGAAAAGGGATACCAAAGCATATTACCCATCATTTTCTAACCCTTTAAAGAACATAACGTCGGAAACTAATACCACATCACATATCATGAGTAGTCTCCCCTCCTAAACCATCAGAAGTACATGCTCGGAAGATCTCTTGCACAAAGAACCAGAATTGCAAATGAGACAGAAGCAATACTAAAAATGCACAAGCAAACTGTATTGAGTCCTGAAAGGTCACCTTGACAGGGAAATAAGCAGATCTGAAGGCCATATGATCCCGACCACACAGTGGTGGATGTTCTTGCCTCATGTGCATCTCCAAGTGAGAGAAGAAGTCCACATCTTCCCTAGATGTGAATGGAAGTAATGCACCTAAACTTCCCATCACAGTTCCATAAATAACACATTCACCTCCTCCAGGTATCAGTGAGGCCTTTTGCAAGCATGTAACAACATCTCCCACATGAAACTGTACTATCTCCTCCACTTTATTCGGCGCACCATTTAACTTCCCTTGCTCCCACTTTATTTTACCTCCCGTTGGATCTTCCTCGATCTCATCTGATACATCTTGAGACAGTCGGACAAAGTATACATTTCCAAACTTGTCTGCTCCTGCCATGGTGTCAAAGTCTATGTGATGTGACGCAGTGAGCCACCTTGGAACAGAATCATCTGCAAAAATGTATAGTTGGTTCTCATCCCTTCTGTACTTGCAATAATGAAATGACTGCAAGAGAACACCATAATGACAATTTAGTTAGCAAACACGGCCTAAAAGGTTGTAATCCATTGCTTAATGACTACATGCACACAGCTATTCAAAACAGATCCAAATGAGGTTGCAGATATACAAGCAGATGAAGTATTGTATGCTTAAACAAACCCAAATAACAATGTGCATGTACATGCTAAGACAGAAACAGATAAGTCCAGCATAATCGCTCTCATTTATTCCTATGTTATCCAAGTGCACAAGGAACAGGAAGGACAGGAACTATCACACATACAAAGAGTACAACACCCAACATGTTTTCACAGATATGAATATATCATTGGATTCTAGCTATATACAAGACTTGTCCTAACTAATTTGGGATTAGATAAAGGTTTTGCTCTTACCCTGCCGTTTTCACCTTCCAAAGTGATACTGAATTTTATAACTGAGATGATCGAAGTTAATTACAAGCCTTTCCTGTCAAACAAAGATTGCCTGATAAGAAGTCTACCGAATGGGCAATACACTTTCATGCAATACAACCTAAGTTCCTGATAGAGATCAAATAATGACACTACAAGGAGAGAGAACATTTAACAGGGAGTTGCAATAAACTAATAAGACACTATAAGAACACCATAATGTTGAGCAGTCAACAAGCAATTTATCACATTCTGGGGATCCTCAACCCAAAATCTGATGATTCATATAAACTCCCACGTTTAAAATATGCAGATAAAATGACACACCTTCAATTTAGGTAATTACTGGATTCAGATCACTGATCAAATTTGCATTATATAGCACACACAGATGGAACAGGAAGTAAGATCACAAGCAGCATATCAATCTGATATAGTGATTTTCAAGATGAGTGAAAAAGGTACTACATCATGACAATACAAGCACATTACTAGACTCTGACCAACTATTTTGTAATTTTTTTCTCAAGATATTTTACAAAGTTAATTGTACATTCACATTATTTTCCTTACATAATTTTAGCAAAAAAAATCCTACACAGTCAACCTCAGGTTATATACTCTAGACATTACCAAGTATTTCTTATTCACTATTGGACCTTTTTATCCTATGGGCTAAAAGTTGAACACTTACAATAGGATACAAGCCAAACTAAGTTCCAACTCCAGGCACCGGAAAGCAAATTTTTTTTGCGCAAGGTCCTTCAGCAGAGGAATCTATCTGGGAATTTATCACCCTTGAAACAACTGGGTATAAAATTAAAGTTAGATACACTTTCAATTCAGATATAGCGCTAAATATGGTGCAACTTAGAAACAATCAACAAGGGCCAAGCAGACAAACAAAAAGTGACACAATAATCAATTCTAAATATGTTAGGTTGCCCCCTCATAACTGATCTCCCATCTATCACGAAAATGCAAAGAACAATGTCAATCCATAGTGGGAGCAAAATATGATGAAGACTACAGGCAACTGATACCATATAGTCAGTTAAAGATTTTGAATTAGCTCTAGTTTAGGGTAGGTTCAAAAAATGTCTATTTAACATTAGAATCACCACTACTAGGTTTACCAAATTAAGATGGGTCAGATATTATTTCATACTTAAGTCAGGATTAGTAGTCCAATACTCTGTAGTTGCAATGCAAATCCTGCTACTTTATTCTCTTTTATCATTTTTTTATTCAGCTCCCACTCCCCTTCTCTAATTTTGTTCCTCTACCCTATCCACTCCAAATATTTTTTTTTAATTAATATACTTTCACTTAAGCATGTTCTCCTGCAATACAGCATCTACCATCAGAGCCAACTAGGAGAGAAAACATATCATCTTTATATCCCTTCTCTCCATTATATAAGTCACTCCTTTCTACATATTTCATCCTTGTTCAGGCCTCATTCTTCCCTGACAATATTACATTGATAATCCAAGTAGAAGAAACCACGGAATAAGTTATGTATGCCAGGTCTCTGAGGCCACCGTGAAGATTAATCAATTGCAGAAGCTGTGTAACCATAATCAAACTTTCAAGATCAAACAAGAAAGGTATCAGCATCGGTTGGCACAAACCAACACACGCTGGAACAAGCTGTTGCAGAAAGATATCAGCATGTGTTGTGCTGATTCATGCCAGAGGTGCTGACAACTAGCCCAATTTCTGGCTTGTGTAGGACATGACTTAGGCATGCCATGTCAAGGGAAGTATCAGCACACTCTCATCCCATGAAACTAAATCCACATGAACAATAAGTTTTTGCATCTCATAAGAAATAGCGATGTACACATATCACACTAACTTCATTCAGTAACAAAATTATCCATTCCAAATGCTTGAGGAAACACCTCACCAACCTAATGATCAACCACGAATACAGACAAAGGGTACTACACACTAGCTAAAGCCAAATTGGGGTTCTTACAATATTATCCTACTAATCCTACCAGTCATGAAAAGTGAAGTTCATGAATAATGAGTGGGAAACAACAGCAGCTAAAATAAAGGACAGGAAAGAATAAAAGTTCCATTGAATGAAATCAGTCTATTGCAAGAAAAAAAAACTATTGACAAAAAGTACATACATAAAGAAGAAAGACATACTTCTTGGATATCACCCACATAGATCCTATCACGATAAGTATGAATAGAGACAATTGTATTAGGGAAGAGCTTGTTTTCGCATTTTCTGAGCAATTTCCTTTTCCCCAGGTCATACAATCTCAGCACTGAGCCAATACCTGCAAGCAGCCTCCCCTGAAACTGAAACAACGCAAGTGGAACTCCCTCTACCTGTGTCTTGTGCACAAGCTCAAGAGATTTTCCTTCTTCAACAAACCTATATATGTGAATGAACCCAGCTGCAAGACTTCTCTTAGGCCAGAACTGTAGCCCCTTTGCGGTTCCTACAGCCAGGAGAGTCCCATACTCCTTATCATGGAAATTCACTGTACAAAGGCTGAATGCAGCCTCATTCTCTTGAAGCTCCAACAGACAAGTTGTATTTCCTGTTCGTGGATCAAGAACTCTGATGCAAGATACCCACTTATCAGACTCTGCCTTTGGATAACCATATTGCTCATCAGAGAGAGCATCCTCCTTCTCCTCCTCATCACCACCACCATTTTCCATTGCATTTCCATTTTCACCCATCCCTGCAGCTTCCAAGCACTCCTTTCTGGCAGCTTCTCTCTCCTCTGCGGTGAACGCCCCTTGATCACTCTCAATAATAACTAAATGTTTGCGCTTGGGCTGCAGCACAAACTTCCTTGGAGTATATCGCAAAGGTACAACTGTTTCATTAAATGTCTCTCCCAGCCGCTCAATTGTGAAAATTCTCAAAGCTTCACCAGCAACTGCAACAACACCTTCAGCACACTGGTCAGAAGAAAAGGATGCAGCATATTCAAGTGTCTCATAGGAAAGAGGAGTCAGCAAGAAATGTCCTTGATGAATATAACCAAGCCAGGGCCTACTGGACAAGCAAAGCATCGCTTGCCGGCCCCTCACAGTAGCTGAGAAGAGCTTGGGAGCTCTCAGTCCTAAGAACCGGGATCGAGTATCTGAAAGCTGACCAGTAACCATATCAACAACTGTCCGGAATAGAACACCATTTTGCAAGCCAGCATTGAGAAAGACGCTAGCCGGATGATCTGCTCCATCCTCTCCTCCAGTTGAAGCCTGTACCTCAAGCAAAAGGAGTGATTCAGGTGGTGAGGACACACTCTGGACACTCAGTATCTGCATACAGTCATCAGGATCCAATGATAGAATCCGAATTGTGTTATCATAAGAACCAACAGCAAGGAAGCGTGATCTCTGCCTTCCCTCCGGAACTGGTGCAATATCCAAGCAAGCCACATCTCCGGGCATCTCATGCTTTTCCACCTCCATCAACTGGCCAGTCATGTCCATCTCGAAATAGATAAGCTCCCCTCCACTTAGAGCAATCACCACCTGGAGCCTATTGGATCCAACCTTCACAATGGTCTTCTTCCCAGGTGTCTTCCACTCATTGATACGCCCGTCCTCTCTGATATGCCTAATTCCATTGGGATGGACCTGCATAAGGGAATCATCTCCCAGTAAAGAGACTGAGAGTGAAGGCGTGGTGTCAAGAAACCCGCTGTCGCTGACTTCTTCAATGGTCTCACCGATGGAGAGCACAAGGGTAGCATTCACAAAGGACACCACAATGTAGGCATCAAACTCATCATTCACATTCTTCTTTACAGTCCACACAGCACTGGGAGTACCCGGAAGCTGTGACACAGCCATTTCATTGATTGCCAGTCCTGGCCTCAGGATACGCAGTGAGGAGCGTGGGCCCCTTCCACAGAGGGTGAACACCTGAGGAGTCTCTTCCTCAAACAAGTTCATGACCCTCATGTCCATGATGGGCATAAGACTCTCAATCTGGTCAATCCTCACCAGATTCTTCAAGCCCCGGGGTTGGAAGAAAACAGGCTGGAATCCCTCCTCGGTCTCCATCAGCGTGGCAGAGGATGCCTCAACATCCTCAGCCTCCCCAATGGCCTGGAACTGGTATAATGCATGATTGCCAAACTCAGAGGCAGCAAAGAGGAAGCCGGTCTTGAGGACACACATAGAGCAGGTGACGGGGATGGTATCAAAATACTTGATCTTGAGCTCGGCAACGCGGTCACCTTCATGCTCGAGGGTGACCTTGAAGATGTCCCCATACTCAGTCTGCAGAAGGAAGAAAAACATGGATTTTTGGCGATGGGTGGCGGCAGAGACAATGAGGACACCACGCTCTGCAGGGAGGTCAGCACGACGGGGGATGACAGCACGGACATCTGGGTGGCCCTGGTTCTTGTAGATGACAAAGTTCTCAGCGCAGACAAGGACGCCACTGGGGCCGTCGCCACCACCAGGCACGGTGACGAGGAGGTTGGCACCGTTGTCAACGGGCTCGGACCACTTGCGGGAGACGTGATTGAGGCCAAGATCCAGCTCATAAAAAGTGAGGTGCTTCTGGGCCTCGGCCGCAGCCTGGCCGGTGGGATCGAGGTCGGCCTCGGAGTAATCGAGCTCAATGGCGGCGAAGACAGGGTTGTCAAAGCCACAGTCGACGCCAACAACAGAGTAGGTGATAGTGTGGGACTTGTGGGCCTCGAGGGGCGAAGAGATAGTGAGGCGGGCCGCGGCGTCACGGTTGAGGACGTAAACTAGGTTTCTGCTTCTCGCAGGCGGTGGCCATGACGGCACGGCCTTTGGGGTCGACGGCGAGGAACTGGCCGGGGACGATGCGGCGGCAGCCAGACTTGCCAAAGGTCTCCTGATGGACCTTGTGGAAGAGGTTGCGCTCGCGGGAGTACTCGAGGATGACGAGGCGGCCGGAGTCAGAACCGACGACGACGTAGTCCTTCTGGGAGCCGGTGAGGCGGAACTGAGAGAGGGAGCGGATGGCACCGAAGACCTCGACGGAGAGGAGGGTCTGAAGCTTACCAGCGTCGTCCGGGCGGAGCAGGTCCAGAGTCTTGCCCCGAGCCACCACGATCTCCTGCGTCTTCCCGCCCACGAAGTTGCCGTTCGTGGCGCACACCACCCCGCCCGCCTGCTGCAGCGTCAAGCTGTACAGATACATCTTTCCCCACCTTCTTCCCTTTCTTCTAAAAGAGAAGAGGAAGGAGATTAGGGTTTTAGAGATGGCTTTTAGGGTTAGGGTGTCGGGGGGGTAGAAATGAAAGGGCCAAAGAGGAAATGGGGAGAGGGAAGGCACACATCACTTTGAGGTATCATTAAAAACGGAAAAGAGATCGATATTTTTTACCGTATTGTTTACACCCAATTTTAGTACCCTTGTTATAACTGAGTGTAACGCATGGGTCCCAATAGAAACGAAACTGCGACCTGCTCTCGTGTCACGGGCTAGTTCGTCCCGTAGAATGTTGGCAAGTCATATTAGAATTTTCGTCGGAATCGAACGAGCTGGAGAGTGCTCCCGACGGGAGCGAAACGTACAAGGGTACATACGTACACAGACACAGTCATCTATAAATAAGTACATACGGCGCGATCACGATTAGAGAGAATAATTTCATATTAGCATAGTTTATTATGATTAATATCTCAATCTATCTTTAAAAAAATAATACTGGCATCCCTATAATTATGAAATATTTAATTTTAATTTTTTTAAATCGTTAATTTTGTTGATGAAGAAAATCACATCACTTACAAAAAGTTCTGAATGGTTGTACAATAAAGAGTCAAATGGTCCACTACGGACTGATTATCTCTTATAAATGTCCACATGACACAACATTTATTTACAAGCTTAAAACGGTCTCCAAACCCAACTAAAATGAGGTTGTTAAGCCTTCGACCGTCCCTTCACATGCTGTGCAAAGCATGAACAAACCAAAAGACACGGACATACATAAGTATTATATCAAACATCGTATTTAAAATTTTGTTTGTGACATTCTCCCCCACTTATTCCTTCGACGTCCTCGTCGAAGCCTTTGCCGACACTACAACTCCTCGCCTTCGTTGAGTCTTCAATCTTCTGCTTCAACTGCAATGCGCCTCTTAGCTCCCAGTTGCTCTCCATTGTTGTTGTTGAGTAGTCGAACTTTTGATCTGTCATGCTATTTCAACTCGCCAATGACTCTGACTCTAGTGTGGGGTTGGCTGAGTTGTGATGATCCCTGTTAGTTCTTGTGGATCTATCAAATTAAGGAAAAGACCATCCTTACTATGCGCCAGTCTCTCAAATGCCTCATACCGCTTGAACTAGGTAGATGCTTGTTGGAGCTTTAACGAGCATCGCCTCGTAAACTTCTGAAGTTTTGGGTCCTTCCTTCACAAAATTTACCCATCGACTCTTCTTTCACTTAGTTGTCACTTCTAAGTAAATTCATATTACTTCTGCTTTCGATTGATATTTTGTTGGGAAATGAAGTGGATAATCTACTCTCAATAGCATTGATCACCATTGGTGAGGATTTGATAACTATTATCTTACATTATCTTCGAAGGATCTTTGAACCTGTGCAGAGCTCCTCTGTTGGATAGATAAGAGAATTAGGGTACTCGGTTTCACCCATTCTCTTAAGAGTTGATAAGGCAAAGGTTACTTACTTCGCCCACCTCCTCGAGAGTTATACTCCATGCATCGAGCTGGTTATTGGCTTTCGCCTGCTCTTTACTCACACTTCTGAAGCACTTGAAGTGTTTGCACTACTTGCGTTGAGTTAGCTACTGTGATTCAGCTTCTCAATGCTATCAAACTTTTTGAATGCAGAAAGTTTTTACCCCAACTTGGAGTAAGTCTCTAATAGTTTTGGTCGCCTCTAGGATTGTACCGTCTTCTCCATCAATCCTACCGCCTACTCCACTGAGTAGCAAAGGTACATTTCGGGAAGCTCATTGACACCGGTCTTACGAAGTTCCTTGGTCTCTACCCTTCAGCTTTGTCTTGGTACTTGGAGTTTGCCTCCGCATGCTCCACCTTCTCGGCCCCTTTCATGACCAAATGCTCTCCATCCATAAGAGCAAGAGATCAATGACTTCATAGAAGTCCCGCCTCTTCGGTACCATGGCGCTGTCATGACCATGGCCCTACTATCCGTCGCCTCACATCTGCATCCCTTTCTTCATGATCAGTAGATCCGCCTCCGTGGCACTGTGACACTCCTCCGAGTCCACCTCCATTCTAACTGATGCTTGGTTTTGGGTAACTAAGTCCCTTTGGACTCATCATCGCTTCCACGCCCCTTACGACCCCTTGCTTCAACACCTTTGTGTTCTCCAAGCAGCTCCCTTTGATCGATGCAAAGACAGACTGCAACTCCCATGCATGGCCTCTACCATCATGTTATAGGGTTTGCACCGATTCTATTTTCCTTAGCTTCTTTGGTAGCAACATTCGCTTACTCGACCTTATCCTTTGACTTGCCAGGCTCCCTTAAGCGAATATGGGCTCTGGAGCAGTCCAACTCTCCAACTGCTTCTGATCATTCTTTGGTAGCAACGTTTGCTTACTCGACCTTATCCTTTGACTTGTCGGGCTCCCTTAAGCGAATATGGGCTCTGGAGCAGTCCAACTCTCCAACTACTTTCGATCATACCTCCGTATGATATAGTCCCTCACGGGACTCACTAGTACTTGCATTCGAACTTTTCCCTCGGTGGAACACGGCCCCTATATGCTAATAACCAAGGCTTTCATCCGATGCACGCACGGAAGACCCGTCTCTGCGGTACCATAGCCTTCACTTCTTGAATCCATAGCCCTTCTTGTCGTCTTGTTATTCACCGAAGTGGAGCTCCCAATAGCTTTCGATCATACCTCCGTATGATATAGTCCCTCACGGGACTATAATCTATGTGTAGCGCATTGCCATGAACTATTCCACCACGATCCGCTGCACCATGTCGCCTCCTGGTGACATCTCCATTGCATTCTGATCATTGTGGGATGAACTCGGATTGCGATCCCTCCATGTGTGGCCTCTGCCAACATATCGTAGGGCCTCTTCCAATTTTGATTGTGTTCGCTCCTTTGGCAATCAATCTTCATCCACTTGCTCTTGGGTCACACATAGATGAAGCACCACTCTAGGAGAGTCTGTCGCCTAGCAGCTCCCGAAGTCCACCGACTTTGTTGAAAATTGTTCACTATTGTTTGGATCCTAGGCCTCTGCCCCTACCAGCACAATCTCCGTTGCGCACCGCTTCCTTCATGGCAACTTGAATGGTAACATTGTGGCATATTCTTCAAGAGTATCTGCCTCCATGTCCTCTTGCCTCGTGTCAAGGCTTTCTGAACTCAACTTCGCCTCCGCAAGTTGAGTCGCCTTAGTTCCTCTATCAAATGCTTCTCCGAGATAAAGTGTATGTGCCCAGAAGCTCTGTTAGTCTTTGGCACCATGTAAGATGAGTCCGCTCCATTAGAATGAAGGACCCATGGAACAACATGATCTCGCTCTTGCCTCTCCAAGAGTTCATGTCCTTGACCTCTGTCCAAGGAAAGCTCTGTGCCTCTGCTCCATGTTTCATCTTCTATGCTGGCTCCCTTCATACGGCTTGGGTACTTTGCCAAGTTACACCCAAGTTGCTCCGCTCCTTGTTTTGCATTGAGTTGATGGTGGCCCTCGCAACCACATTCCACGGGTCAGCCCTCCCTTGAGTCTGATCTCCATATCGACTCTAAGTATGCCTTCATTTGTGTTGCTTTCGGTCACTCCCCCACTTGATCTCGCAATGCATCCACCAATGCATTCTCTCAAGTGAGATCATGCGACGACTCCTCGCCGCTCACTCGGTCCATTGAGCTTCGTGGAGTTGTTTTTGAGGTACTCCTCAACATGTGCGGTCTGTTGCACGTGATTCTCCCTCTAGAGAGTCGGGACTTGTCCCTCCTGGGTATCTACCCCATTGGAGCAACATCTCTCTTCGTTTCCTTCCCTTTGAAAGCTTCGGAGACCACCCTCCCCTTGGATTGCCCCGACTTGCTGAATAAGTTGTGCATTATTCTGCCTCTTGTAAATACACTTGCTAGGTTACGACTCTACGTTAATATAGCCCACACTGCACCACTCAAGATCTAGCAACATGCTGAACTAGCTACACACTTCAGCCTCCTACGAACGTATCCTTCTCATGCCGAAGAGAAAGTTTCAATGCTCTATGGCGTCGAGTTTTGGTCGTCTTGGGATGGCCGCGAACATTCCATCGTCCGCATACAAGCCCTTGCACGAGTACCGAATTCTTCGAGTTAGCAATTTCCCTCACCTCTGTGAGCTTTGCATAACTCTTTCGGTCGCTGAGCAACCCATTCCACCTTATATAGTCTCATCCTTTACCAAGCGCCTCGCTTACCTTGATTACCATCAAGTATTGTTGTCAACATCGAGTCGTAGCTCGAACTCAGCCATCCCAACCTTTATGTGCTACGTATTCTTCCAAGCTTGCTTGTTCTCGTGGTACCTCTTGCGCGAAGGGTTGGCCATTCCTCTGAATGTCAATCTCATATGCCCGCTCCTCTTAGCGACTCCTTTTCCCCACATCTCCATGCCCGTTTTCCCCCAAACGGTCGCATGTGTTGGTTGCCCTCAACACAGCCCTTTAGGTTCCTCACGTTTGAATGCCAAGTGTTTCTATGAGTGCTTGTCCTACTTTGATACCATCTGTCATGGACTTAGCTGGTTTCGCCTAAGTCGTAAGGCACCATTGCGTGTCCGTCCGCAAAGGTCAACCTCCTCGAAACCTCTCATGGTCCCTTAGGACCTATAAAAGAGAAAACGAGTTAGAGAAAGCACCTTACTCGGGATCCATAAGCAAACATTTCCTAAAATACTTTATAGCCAATGCAAATTACAAACACACTTTACAAGCTCTGAATGGTTGCATAACAAATGGTCAAAATGGTCCACTATAGATTGATTATCTCTTATAAGTATCCACATAACATAACATTTATTTACAAGTCTAAAACGACCACCAAACCCAACTAAAATGGGGTTGTTAAGCCTTTGATTATCTCTCTACATACTGTGCAAAGCATAAACAAACCAAAAGATACGGACATACATAAGTATTACATCAAACTACCTATTTATAATTTTGTCTGTGACAACCCGTTAAAAGAAGATCGGTAGCCTTGAGTGAAGAGGAATCGAGAGTAGATATAGGTCACGACGACCGAACCACTATTAAATTGGTG